AAGAGAGCCGTATAATGATCAAACAATTTCATTACAGTCATATCATCAATCCCTACTTTAATTTATACGCAATATATTATGTTATTATGAATTAATCGTGTTTTTCATATTCTCTGGAAAATAAGTAAAATATATTTAACGTTAAATTATTATAAATTCTTTTTTTTTTTTTTTTTTTTTTTTTAATTGAACTTAAGCCCGGCAACTAGGGCCATTAGCTGTTTATAAGGGTTATAAACTATAGTAAGGGGTAAGGTTGGTACGGTAGGTTGTATTTTACGATTGTTACGGTTGATAGCAAACACGTGTATGTGTGGCAAGGTTTTTAACTACTATGATCCCGAGTGGTCACCCATCCGGGAGCTAGTAGCTGTGGTCGTTACTTACTCTCAGTCGCATTCCGCGACTGATAGCAGCCAACGCACCACGCCAAGCCTATTATAAATTCTATAGTTTGAAAAATTAAACATTCATATAACTGTTATTTTTAGTAATACTATCTATACCTAAATATTTATTTTATTATATTTCTTGTAACTAGAATAAATAAATAAATACACACGTGTATACAATATACTCCGTAAACATTTTAAATTCTTGTATAAATAATAATTTAATTAAATGATAATAATTGATGTCATCACTATATCAATATTACGTTTATGACACCAAAAGGTAAATACATTGTAAAAAAAAAATAAATTAAGTATAAAATTATCTCGTGGCCGAAGTCACAGAGATGACAATACATTTTGATTATTAAACCCAATGATTTAATAACTATTAAGTTCATTAATAAATGATTAGGCAATGATCACTTTTAGGCAAAAGTATAAATTTGGTATAACTTGGTATAATATATGATGAAAATTAGAAGAGGAATAGGGGGCCCGGAGCCGAAAGTATTTAAAAAAATTAATTGACTCAGTAACAAATACAAAATTAATATATATAAAATTTAAAAAATAAATATTTTTATGTAAAAAAAAAAAAAAAAAACGGAAAGTAGTTCTACTAAGCCCAAACATATACATTTTAAAACGAAAAAAATGTGATCAATTATAGATATATAGATTTAAGATCAAAATTTTATTCATTTATGAAATAAATAATTTATCTATTAAATTTAACTGGGTTAACATTTTGTCTCTAGATAGAATTGCTATTAGAATTTTAATTTGTATACTTTTTCATGAATTTATTTAAAGACTGTTTAAAATTTAATCTTGCAGGTAGTGAATGTGTTGAATTAAAATTCCTTTTGCTCTTTAGTTTTTAAATTGGTTGATGAAACGTTAATTCGTGCTGTAAAATTGATACAACTCTATATTATAATCATTCGAATATTAGAATATCCACACGATTGAAAAGAATACATTCATGCATTATTTAATATTAATTATTAATATATATGGCTTAAATTTTAACACGAGGATACTCGAGTACTCTTATTAAGTATATCAAGCATTTCTAAATTCAAACAACAATAGTAATGATAATGATTATTTTATTTTTATTTCAATACTTTATACAAGTATTTATTACTGCTATCATATATTATAATATAATAACATAGTGCGTTGATTTTGACTCAATAATTTATAACATTTTATAAAAATATACTATATTTATTTAGTTAGCAAGTGTTTGGTTATTTTATAGCATTTGGTTTCCCATTAAAATGACACTTCTTATATGAATATATGATTCAAACGTTATATTTAATTCGTTGTATAAAACTCGTCATTCGCAGACGACACGGCGTTCCTTTTATACCTTAATGTTGGTACCTACGAATTTTGTTACCATAAAAAAATGCCAATTCTTATTCTCATATAAAACTTTTCAAAAATTATTTGATCATTAATTAAAATATTGTGGACATTGTCTGTTACCGTGGCATCGCCTGCCTTTACTATTATTTTGTTTTCGCTTGGCGTTCTTTTTGAATTTTTTTCTGTATATGGTCGGTTCTTAAGGGTCGTATTATATTATAATATTAAGTAGTTTATAATCTTCTGAAAAATTGAGCTATCAAATACAAAAAATAATTTTCTTCATCCAACTAGTAGTTTCGGAGATTAAACAAACATACTTTTTAGTATTATTATATTAGTATATAAATACCTATATATTTAAAAATTAAAATTATTATTTCACTACTTGGGTATGATAAAACGCGTTAAAGGCGTTTATCAGGTTCTTTAGGGTTCACGTACTTTATGCATTGCGTGATAGAGTATAAAATACACGTAGGTAATACGTTGTAAGACAAGGATAGCAAATAAGTGGCACGCATGAGATTTTCGATGGCACTCGAAAAACTTCAATTTGTCCATATATATATATATTTATAGATTTTTTAGATTTATAGATTTAAGTAACATACAATAAATTGAATTATCAATTGCACATATTAATTATATATATTTCACAACGACGTATTGTTATCTTATCTTTAGTATTTTTTCACTTGTATTTTTCTGTGTTAATAAAAATAATTATGGCACGGCCGAAATTTTTTTTTTGAATTATGTCATAAATTGGCACGTTGTAAAAATCCTATTTGTCATCCTTGTCATAAGAGTAGCAGCTTTTCGGTGTTAATAATTAACAAACATAAATATTTTGCTCTTCTGGTGAGGGAGCTTCGGATCTTCGCCGCTCAAAACTAGAAGTATTAATATTTAATATTCACGAAAAAATACTGGATAAAAAAACAGAGCATATAATAATATAATTATTATAGTAGAAATATGATATTTTAAATTTTTTAAAAATAATGCAAATCTTAAAATCGAATATTATTGAAAACCATCACAAATATTATTTTTATGATTTGCAATCATGAAATACTTTTAAATATCTAACATAATTTTGATTTTAATACATTATAAAGAGTAAAGATGAATAACAATCTTGACGAAATTGTATTTACGTCGATTTTTAAGAGCATTTTTTAAATCTATTTCCAATTTTTATGTTAAATTTTTACATAAAAAATATATCTAAAATTAAGAAAAGGAAAATCATAAAATTATTCTTTATAACTAATTCCAATATTTGTATTTTATATTTTAACTACAGTGAAATGGAAAACATTTTTTTTTTTTTCTATAAATCCGTAGATTTATATTTTTAGATATATTTTTTTTTTATATTTATTTATATTAGATTATCATTTTAACACGGATGAAGTTGTGTAATATAATGTACTACACAAAATATACATAGGTAGATGATATGGGTAGATGATATGTACCACGATCCACGACAATCTATACTAATAGAAATCGTAATATTATTGTATAAGATTTTTTTCTTCATGCCTTTCATCCATTACCTATGTTTGCAAACTGCAAAGAACCCATTATTTTGTTTATATTTAAAAATAATTTATTTACAATCTCTCTCTTTATACACAAATAATATAGTTCTACAGTTTAGTATAAATGTATAATACTACAGTCTATAGGTAAGTTTGATGGAATATAATATTATAACATGGCAAATAAATAATTGTTTACCTTATGGGGAGGCATTCAAGGGTTAGTTCTCATTTGGCCGAATTGTATCCTGTTTGAAAAAGGTTCATCTTGTTAAAGTAAGTCGAATTGGTTCCCGTTTAAATTTATGACGTTTCTACTATTGATCGAGATAGTTCCCGTTTTTAATTATGCACAACATTTCCTTTTTAGGTTTAGGATTGTAAAAAAAGTATAAGCATGTTTAAAAATATGCGTTGGTGATCGTTGAAGTAGAAGTCAACCGGTCATTACTCAGAAGTCAGGTGAATAAAATAAAAATAATAATTGCTGAGTTGATAGTTGAGCTACCAATCAGTCATTTTTTATGTAAAATAATAAAAATAATTAACTGACTGAATAAAAATTTTAAATTTAAATTGGTTGAAACAGAATTTCTCCAAATATTTTAATAGTGTACGTTTTCAATACGCTATTTTAACAATTTATTACTATTTTATTGTAGGTATAAGCTATTAAGTGTAGATACAAATATGTTTTATACTACCTCGTTTAAATTTTGTATAAATTATACATAATTATAATTTCATCTTGTAAAAAATTTCTTAAAAATTAAAATTTTTAAATAATTATTTAATTTAAATTAGTATGAAAATATTAAAGTTATTTATACATTTATTTATATTTGATTTAATAACCGTAAGATTTATTTAACAACAGTCTAATGGATATTTGGACTGTTTTGTACTAGAAATTTTTTACTCTGAACTGTGCAGTGATTTCCCGTTGCCTTTTTTAAAAGGATAATATAATTGACTAATTGATTAAGAGTAGGAATTTTCAGGTATTTATGAAAATTTTTGTTAATAAAATATCAAGGAGATATAGAGATGATGTTATTTGTTGCAAGCAGATAAATTGAAACGCTTAAAGCTCTTTAGTTGACAGGTGATATATTATTAGAGAATATAATGTAACTATACATAAATTGTATAATATACAAAGTAGATATATCAATATATCATATTTTATATTTATAATTTGTAATATAGGTACACATCACACATGAATATATACTAGAATATTGTAGTCATATTCATATATTTACATTATGCTTTCATTTTATTTTTTTCAATTCCCTAAGTAGTTTACATGATGTATTTAATATTTATACATAAATTTAATATATATAATGCATATTATATAGTATATCATTCATCCATATATACCTATATAAGTAATAATCATGTCAAGCACCCAATTAATTTACACGCATGGGTTCTATATAATTAAAAAATATAAATTTAAGTATAAAATTAACATAGTACAAATAATTTAATATAATGGTTACGTTTATCAGGTATCTATATCGTAATTATATTTATTTTATATATTTATGAGTTAATTTATAATTTCGATGAATACGTTTTTAGTTTAATACTAATTTAAAAAGCATATACTTTATATTATATACTACTATAGTCGTTATAAGCATATAATTGCTATGTAGTAAAATTCCGAAATATAATAATGTAATAATAATATAATATTATACTAATAATTATAATAATATTACTGTTACAAACCCATATCTCTCCTCTTGGTACTCTCAGTGGAAGGTAAAAATAAATGAATCCAAATCAATCTCTACTTCCTTCACTCTCAAACAACGACCACCGCTATCTGTTTCTTTAAATAATAAACTCATCCCAAATTCTGATACCGATAAATACCTGGATATTCTCTTTGACAAAAGAATAGCATGAGTTAAACATATCCATAGCATAAAAATTTCACTTGACTGCAGACTCTCACTCCATCGCAACGGCAACATCCTAGGAAAATCCTCAAAGCTTAATATAAAAACCAAAATTACCCTTTATAATTTATTTCTCAAATCCATATGGACTTACGGCATCCAAATCTGGGGCTCTGCCAAAAAAAACGAATATACAAAAAATTCAAATATTCCAATTAATTACTAATACCCCTCCATACGTCTCCAACCATACTCTACACACAGACCTAAAAATTCCCGCGATAAACAAAGTAGGCAGTAGCCAAAATTAATTACACACGTTTCTACAAATGCCTTCCTAACTATACAAATCGTCTTATACATAATCTATCCTCAATCACACTCCTTGAAATCCTATTAAAAGACTCAAGCGCCAGTGGCTTCGGGATTTCCTCAGCTAAGCCTACACAGTACCTGCATGCCACAATTACAACTAATAAGTAATAAATTAATAAGTAACTCCCATCGCTGAAGTGCCGTCGCTGGATGGTCCCTTCATATATTCATGTCAATAAAGTTCTATATCCATCCATCTCTTCAGCTTATTGTACTAATAAAATGTAGGTACAGATTGTTGAAATTTCTAATAAAAATAAAAAAAAATAAATAAATAATTTCGAGTATAGGTACAAAGTAATTATTTAATAGTAAAAAAGAATTATTTATACTCATATCATACTCGGCTAATGTTTTCATCTCTTTGATTACCTATATATAACAATATAAATTTAAAATCAATATACTTCGATACAAATAAACCATTAAATTAAATGTGGCTTGTAGTTGTACCATTGTCCATTGTATATAGTATATAAATAGTACTATAGACCATGTAATAGCAGTTAACACTAAACAATACAGCATTTCTACTATAGGTGAAGATGTAACCGTGTTATTAAATTAAACTGCTAACTGGCGTTATGCAATACATTGTCATAATGAAATTGACGATTTCAACTCGATAAATGTCAATTGAAAATTTTCTAGCTGCGCTTGAGATTTAAAATTTTTTCACTTAAATTCCATAGAACCCAATTTTTGAATTTTAAATGATTTTCAAACATATATAAAAACAAATAAAATAATTATAATAGTGAGAAAAAAATATACATGTATAGCTAGTAAGTATCTATTAAGATATTTATTAAGGTATCTAACTTAATCACTTTATCATAATAAATAAGTTACAACTTATAACAAAAGAAATAAATAACTTAATTAATTAAATCAAAATAAATGATTAAGTTCACGTTCATTACCTACTATATAACTGTGTAAGTATAAATTAAAATATAATTTTGCCTTTATTTAAGTTTAACTTATTTATTCAACTATTTTAGCTTCATTATTAAAGTTATGTATACTTATAAACAGTTTTATTATTATAAATAAGTAATAACATTATTACTATATACGACTGTATAAATAATACATTTTTTTAAATATCCGCTGAATAATAATTACTGTTAAATTGATATCTAATCATTAATTAATAAAAATAAATTTTATAATTAAAAAAATATATTGATATCTATCTATAAAGGACTTTTTAATGAAAATGATTCATTATATTATGGCTGTTTAGATAGCCAATGCTAGAAACATTTCATATTATTAAAATTAAAACTATGGCTGTACCAATAACTTAAATAAAATATTTATAAATATTTATTATTTAGTTAAAATTATTCAGTAGATATACATTAAAAAAATACAGGTAACTCTATACGCACAATAATATTTAAACATTTAAAATCAATCATAAATTAAAACGTTGAGTTAACTTCCTAGTAATAATTTATGAAGATATTTTTAAGATTTTTGATGGTGGTATTAAATGTAGACCGTGCACGATATCCACCTGATCATAGTAGAAAGAGATAAAGTCTTAAACAGGGGCGGATTTAAGGCACTACGAACTATGCAACCGCATAGGGTGGCTGCAAATTTATGGAAGGCGGCTTTTTATACGCAGTAAAATTGTATTTAATATTTATTTTATTCTTGTACTTACCTATAGAAAAATACTTAATTTTTTCTTAAATTTTTCAATTTCAAAATAAATAATTAACATTAAAACTACTTATATACCAAATAATTATTTAATAAATTTATTATTTTTTTCTTGTATAATAAGAATAAAGAGAAAATACTATATTATAATCAAAATGTTTTTATTGAACTTTAGTTAAATGAAAAAAATAATTGCATAATACATTGAAAATGTTTTCATGTAAGGAAATTTTGTTGTACAGAGGTGATTTTTTTTTTTTGGCATAGGGGCGGAAAATTGTTAAATCCGCTCTTGGTCTTAAAGCATATTTAGTAGTCATTTACTCGTTCATATTTCGTTAACAAATACATTATTTTTCATATAAATCGTAATATACGTCACTTACAAATGGACTGACATTAAAAATGTGTTTAAATAAGTAATATGATTGTGATACAATTACATATTAGCTGTATGTCCAATGAAACTACTAAAGTGTGTATTACGAAAATCTTATCGATACTACGATAATGCGATAGGTAAATAATAAATATATAGCCAAATAGGTAATACGGTAATACTTCATATCAAAGAACGCCAAAAGATTTTTTATAATATAACACTTAAAGTAAAATATGATTAATTTTTATTTAGTATTAATTTTTACAATTGCATAGATATATAATATAATGTGGGGCATGATAATTGTATAATGTTTAAGTTATTGATTATTTAGATGAATAAACTATACACGTAAATTCTCACAATCCTCACATAAAACACGAATGTTATATTTAGCTAGATAAAATTATAATGATTTTTAGTTAAAAAATAATATACACAACTTGTATTTCTACACTATTTTTTATCATGCGTATATATTATTAATAGAAGGTTACCTATATTCTTCGCAATAATTATCGTAAGTAGATATTATTGTAGTTACAGGGGCACTCATATGGGGTTGGGGGGCAAGGGAGGTATATGTCCCCCCTGGAAAATGTTGACAAATTGTTTACACAAGATCTACAATGAGTAAAAATAGAGTTGATGGATTATGCATGATAAGCGTACATAAGGAAAAAATTGATGATAAAACGAATGAATACATAGAACAAGTAATAAATATATTTGGTGTATAGAAATTTACAATTTTTATTTGTAAATTAATATTTTAATAAATGTATGTTATTAATCAAATGAAAATGCAATAAATAACTTTAATGGTTAATTGGTTAAACAATTATTATTTCATAATCTTCCAGTTTGATATATAAAATATAATAGTATAATATTAAATTGTAAACCCCTTCCTATCTCATGGACATAATTAAAATTTTTTTCCCCCTTGAGAATTTTTCTATGAGCACCTTTGTGTAGTTATAATAGAGGACGCGCCAATTGACTGATGTTCACTAATTATTTACTGTAATCGTGTATGAGTATGGCGAAAGTGATTTTATAAATTGTTCATATATATATATTTACATATAATAACACTATACTGTACCTGTATACTGTATATAGTGTAAATGTAATATGCACATTATAATCACTGAAAAATATTTAAATAAATCCTAATAAATTAATAGTTTTAAGAATAAGAAAAAATGTATTTGCATTGTTCCTATAGTTATATGACAGTCCGTTATCGAAAGGACAAACATAATAACGAAGAATTTTATTCATACATATAGCATATTATACATCTTATAGCTAGATAAAATGAAAATACATCAAATTATTATATCGAGTTGTTTGTGTATGTATGTAGGTACCTCCTACCTATACATTATAGCAAATACAGCGTCTTAGAGTTTTCGCCTTCCTTCGACCTACTCGAAATTTAAAGACATATATTGTGTGTGTGTGTGTGTGTGTGTGTAGCAGCCAGCAGGTAATTACTAATCCATAATTGACATTATTATAAAATATATAATAACGTAACAAATGTGATGCACGGAATGATTATCAATGTATACAGTCGTCGTTCGTTGGGTCACGGTTGTTAATTGATTTTTTTAATATAGTATAAATTAAAATTCTACGTAGGTACCTATACCACAACTGCAGTGTACCACCTACTTTATAGTACTAATAAAATAGTAGCCACCAAAAGTTAAGACACGCAAATAAAAATCAACACAATATTATGTTTTCGTATACGCGATATGGCAATGCGACATACACAAACTGATAAGTGATAACTGAGTGATACTTTTATGGTACAACATTCATTATTTCAAAATCAATTGATGTTTTTGAAAATATTTTTTCTACATAATTTCCAAACAAAATAAAACAATATTTTTCATAATATTTTTTATTGTTTTAACTGTCTTACTTTTTTGAATGAAAACATACATTTTTAATTTCATATCCTGAAGCAAACAATTTTTCAAAGTATATTTCAGTACACAAAATCAAAATTTGGACAAGTATAATTAATGAATTAGAAGTATTTATAACTTTGGTAAGCGGAGTAGTAGACCAACATTTACGGGTTTCTCTATACCACACCACTTTGCTCATCAAAACTTAAAATACTTATAACTCAAAAACTATTTGTCAGAATTTCAATTTTTATATATAAAAATACTCCGAAAAATATTCTGCTTAGGAATATACTCGTAAAATTTATAATATAAATTATCATTCAAAAAAGTAAAAATTAAAAAAATTATAACGATAAAAAATATTAAAAACTGTTTTAATTCGACTGAAAATTATGTAAGACAAATATTTTTAAAAACGTTAATAGATTTTAAAATATTGAATGCTGTTTGATAAAATAATCACCCTCTATATACTTGCATATTATAATATTATGACGCTATACTGTACAAATCAATCGTTAAAATTAAAAATATTTAATAATAATCAATGATCAACCGCTATAGTAAACCTGCATAAATTATAAATGGATAAAACTAAAAACTTTCGAGTAACAAAAACATTAGACATTATATATTACTTGTACATATTAAGTAGACCTTATAAAAAGTGCGTTAGTTATTTTTTTTTATACGCATTCCACGTGTAGGAAAAAAGCGTGAAATATTTTAATAGTTTTTCGCAATCGTGTTATAGGATGTTATTTTAACTTAACAGCTACGTTTTACAATTTGACAATATTATAATATAAAATATAATAAAATGTCACATAAATTATCGATCGTATGATATAAACGAGTAAGACATACCGTGCGTACAAAAATATTATCGATTTCTGATAAAAAAAAAAATTGAATTGTGATAGCATGTACTTCTTTCCAAAAACCATGAGCCTATACAAAAACATATTGTACTGACCGAAAATCATATATATTTCTGCGGCCGGATAGAAATTAATGTGCGTCGACCGCGGTAGAATCGGAAAACCAAAAGATCAAAATGTTTGTTCGTCAATCCGTTGAAGCCAGGACATGAGGCATCCCGGAAGACGGCTTTTCAAAATTGACGCGGCGTCTGTTTTTGGGCGTGGACGATTTTGTATTTGGCGCGCTTTCTTTGGAGGCCGTGGACTAGAGCCGCCGCCGCCGGCCATTTTGAACAATGCCGAGCAGCGTTTTGCAGGCGGCAGACGGCTGTCGCTACCGCCGCCGCCGCGCCGCGCCACCGGTACTGCCACCACCGCCGCCGACACCGCCACCACCACTCTAACGCCAACTACACCGCACCGCCGATCGCGTTTTACGTCCGTCACGGTTGGTTTTCGTTATTTTTTCTGTTCCATTTCCTTCTCTCGTCCGCCCGATCATTGTAGCCCGTCAGTTACTGGTTTCGTAACAGGCCGCCGCGCGTTCAGTCTGTCAATTTTTTATCACCATCCGCGGAACGTGTCTCTCGCCGCTGTTTAGTCGCAGTCACCGTCGCTCGCTCATTCCGCACTCTTACTCACTCACTCACTCTACACACACACATACTAACTCGCACGCACCGTTCTCGCCCGGTTGCATTTATCTATTTTCCACGCGCCCGCGAGTCCGTACCAAGTCGGCCGTGCCGTACACGTCTCCGCGTCAACCGACCGTCTGTGTCACTCTCGTTTTGATTTTCGTCGTTGGTCGCATTACGTTCCCGGCACAACCATGAGCAGCTTGGCGGAGACAAATCCGATTTACGGGCCATTTTTCGGCGTAATGGGCGCGGCATCAGCCATCATTTTCAGCGGTAAGCATAACGACTGCAAAACGATAACAGCAATTTATATTTGTATTATCAACGATAAACGACACTGTTGTTGAGTCCACCACCTCGGGGCTAGTACCCGATAATTGCTGCCCGTCGCCTATGGCGGATAGGGCAGTGTTAGATCGATGTCGCGCGGCGGGTACCTTCCTCATTTTCATCGAAAAAACACGGCCCCAAAGTGAAAAACTCTCACGGCCGCCACACCCACCTGCCACTGCCGTAAGTGGTCGATATGCTGGATCTTCCCGTGTTGAAATAGACTCTCAACAGATCTATGTCGGTGGTGACGGCTGTTTGTAAAAAATGCAGCCTTTGATATCGTCCTGTTCTATAAGTCGGTGGGACGGGTCGACCAACAATTTTTCCGGCCGCGTTACGCACGCACGCATTTCAAGACACGAGTGGATGTGTTTAGGCGTGGCCTGATAACCGTGGCTTTTCTATTTTCATAGTTAATGTTTACCCTTTCCGTGTTTGCCGCCGATCGATTTTTAGGAATACTTTGCTTCCAGTACCCTAACGACGGAGATGCAGATTATAACGAACCCAAATTTTTTCCCTAGACCGTAAAAATCAGTCAAAACGTTCCTCTACCGTCTTATCCAGATGATTTTCTATATTCTGGCTCTCACGGATCACATTTTGGGTTTGCTCAGTTCAGACGGTGACTAAAGGTCGTGATAAAATTCGTCATTTCGCCTCATTTTCGAGGCCGCCGCCGCAACCTGTTCGCATCGCGTGTCCCACATACGACTCGCACACATGGGCGTGACCCGGTCGAGTTTTTCGATCACTCGCATTTTGAATTCTCTTGGTTTTTGTCTCCGGTAAAATGTCTGCCACTCAAAAGCCTTTAGCAACAGATTTGCCCCAAAGTCCAGATTGACGATTCTGACCATAATTCCTAATGCGATAGTCGTTAAATTATGGGCGCGGCGCGTGAAGGTCATTTAATTAAATTTCGATTTGAATGATTCTTATCTTTCTTTCTCTCTCTCTTGCTCCACCCGTCTATGGATAGTTATATTTTTGAATTTCGATTTCCCCACGTTTATAAGTCCAATAATGTGAGACATATTGTGTACCAATAACATTTTTTAATATTTCTAAAGTGACACATGTTACTTTTGCCAAAATCATAGATTATACATTATCTGTTTTTAGATCACAAAACACTTATCGTTAGTACAAAGAGTGTTAGTTCAAAGTTTTCCAATATTATTCTATATGTTTGGTTTATTACATAAGTATCCCATCTAATAGGTACTTGCATATTATATTATATATAATGCAATTTTCTGTATTTTTGAGATTGGAAATTTTGTCAAACCACGCCCTTTTTTTAACACAATTTTAACCATTTTATTCATATTTCTACTTATTATAACTTTTAATTAATGTTAAGCCACCAACATATGAGTATTTTAATGAAAATGTACATTAACCTTATTCTATTTAGCACATGACAATACTTAATTATAGACAGTCATCACAATAGCCGTAAAATCATTATAATTTTTGTTTAAAATCTTGTTTACAATAATAGTTATGCATATCAGTGTTAATAAGATTTTTTCTGCTGAGGTAAAGGCATAATTTGTTGGTACATAATTATTACATTATAGGTATTCTTAGTTTTATGTTTTTCATTACCTACTTAATTCCAAATATGATTTCTAAGATTTAAGTTTTACTGATGCTGTAATTACAATGATACATTTAAAGTAATTTCAAACATTTATAAATTTAACACGACAACTAAAACGGGTGTTTCTTTTCTAAATGTTCAATCTAATTAATTAAATTGTTAATTATTTTTTTGTGATGACTTTCAAGTGTTTTGTTTAATGAACATTCCATATATTGTACATTTAAAAAGACTTATTAAGTATGGGTGTGTAGCTTATAGTAAATTAAATAGTACCCATAAACAAAGTTAAACTTGAGGTTAAATTATGCAGAGAGCTCATAAGTAATACCTAATAAAAAGATTGTTACACACATGAGATTATTAGATCATGTTTTTTAATTTTGTTTTTGCAATACCTAGTTGTTTTACAGTAAGTTATTGAAACACCAACTTTTTTACACTATAGGTAAATTCATAAAAATATAACTGAGAAATTCCATTTCATTTTATGTTAGTTTTTAATTTTAACATTAAAATACTAATTATATAATCAGAAATCTTATTAATTCTCATTTGGTTTATATTTATTTAATGTTTTATAGTGCTAATTAATTTTTTTAAATAATACTGTAAAATCATGCTAAAATGTACATAAAATTCTATTATTACTTACAGTGTAATTAATTGCATATCTTTACCTTTTATTTTTTTTTTTAGCTCTTGGCGCTGCATATGGTACAGCAAAATCTGGAACTGGTATTGCTGCCATGTCAGTAATGAGGCCAGAACTTATTATGAAATCCATCATTCCCGTTGTCATGGCTGGTATTATTGCTATCTATGGTCTTGTAGTAGCTGTCCTAATAGCAGGTGCTCTGGAAGAGCCCTCTAAATACTCCTTGTTCAAGTAAGTTGATTAGAAATGTATAAAAAAAATTGTGCAAATTATGTAAAATTAGTTAACACAATGCAAAATACTAGAATTACTAACTTTTTTTTTTTTTTTAGGGGATTCATCCATCTTGGTGCTGGCCTTTCTGTAGGCTTCAGTGGTTTGGCTGCTGGTTTTGCAATAGGTATTGTTGGCGATGCTGGTGTCAGAGGCACAGCCCAACAGCCCAGATTATTCGTAGGAATGATCTTGATCCTAATTTTTGCAGAAGTATTAGGATTGTACGGACTGATTGTTGCAATTTACCTATACACTAAATAAACAATTTTCCCTCTGAATAAATATAAAAACAAAACAAACTTTTTTTTTTTTGTAACAAAAAAAAAAAACAAACAAACCATGAACACCCATACGATGCCCAGTTATTGTCGTTAATACAAACAATATACTATCATATTATTATAAACATTTTAGTTGAAAGAAATCAAATATTTGTGCCCTTATGCCACTCATCTGAATAGTTAGGTGTATTCTTCTTTCCCCCAGCTTTCTAAATCATATTTCCGTTCACGTAGCAAAATAAGTAATAATAATTTTAAAACTATTTTAAATACATATATTTAAATTAAATAAAATGATGGCCATCTCATGTATCAAACGTTATATTTTGTGTTTTATTATTATTATTAATTTTTTTTATGTTTCAATGAGTTGTATCATAAAATATTGTTCCCCCCTTCACTTTTAAATGTTACTTAACTAAGAGGGGATTACCCTCAAATATTAAGTACTCTATGCGATGTGATGCAATCTAAACTTAGAAAGTGTACGATTGTTCTCCATCTTATTGAGTAACGTACACATAATAATATATTAAATTATTTAAATTAATATTACTGCAGTTCAGCACAAATATTGTAGCTGTACAATTTGATAAAAATTCGTAGTTAAAGTATTATTGTTTGTTTTTTTATCATTTTTTTTTTTTTTTACATTTATTGTAAAATAAAAGCAGGCTTACATGGTTACTGGTTATTTAAAATTTTTATAATAGAAGTATATAAATTTACAAAAAAAAAAAATTAAAATAACAACTATTAGTGTTTTTAATAATTATTTTAAGTGAGCGTGCATCTAAGACGTGTTAAAACATTCCAATGTATTTGTAATTTAATCGTATAATCCAATGGAAGTATATTAATTTTACTTACAATTAGATATTATATATTCATACATACATTTATATATGTATATATATATATATATATAAACACTTATAAAAATCTGCCATTAAATTATTGTTCGTTAGTTCAAATAGTTATTTTTAACTCCTGTCAAATAACATTTGTTTATTTTCCATTCATATCAATCGCGTGTTTATTGTTTCTCATCATTATCAAATTATTCGTAATTATTATTATAACTGTTCAAAAAAAAAAAAAAAAAAATTAAAAAAATCCACTATTTATTTTATTATAGTTGTGTATAAATTATGTGGTTAACATTTGTTTTATTTTTATTTTAATATATATATTTATTTTTTTTTTTTTGATTATTTAGTAGACACTTAATGCAGTAAAAACCGATTTTTTCAATTGTTTTTAGTCGTTTTTAAACATTATAAATTTGAGTCTGTAATATATTATTACTTAGACTTGAAGGAAATTCTAAGGGAGTAAATTAAACCTATCTAATTTTCTATACCTAAAATTTCCTAGGAATTTCAATTATATAGTAATAAAACAAAAATTGTTGTTAATCATTGCGTTTATTTATTTATTTATTTATTTGTTTTCGTTTTTTAAATCGGAAACCATTATAAATTGTTATTTCAATCTTTAAGTAAAATGTTTTACCTGACCACTATATAATATACACCCATATTATACAATACAATCGTGCATTAGCATGGTGATGAAAATTGAGACGAAGCTCGAACACAGAACGATGATTGGAAATCGACATTACGTGTTGTTATGACATTTCTGTGTTTCATTTTGGAAGCGATCGTGTGCCAAGGATGGTCTGTCGCTCATGTAACCTTAACGCAGTATAAAGTGCAAGGCGCTGATAAAAAAATTGGAACACAGGAATAGCCTAGTGACGACCACCACCTGTTGACACGAGAGGATGTGGTGACCAACGTTTTATTAAAATATCGTATTGTTATACGTGTTTTTGATGTTGTACTGTGGTGTACTAATGTTTGAAACACATTTTTCAAACGCCAATCTACGTTTTATAAATGGTACACAAATATTAGATTTCACCTACATAATTAGGTAAATATATTACATACTATCCGTATCTAATGACTAATGGTTTAAGTATTACTACTCGAAATCAGGGAAACCAAACGGCAGTAAATTTTTTAAACAAGAATGGAGCGTTTTAGTATTGTGATCTGTGTTTTCTTTTCTATTCAATATGAGTTGATGGTAAGTACATAATTGATTTGTCAAAATGTCATGGTTATTCATACAACTCAGCACTCGGCATTGGTACAATTTCTTAACTCGTGTTTAATCATCTCTTATGTATAAATTACATATATAATAATTGTAGACATTGTAGTATTTGAATCGTAAAATAAACCTCCAATTTGCTATACAATTTAACTTGCTGCGTTTAGATTCTAGATATGTCCATTAATTTTTTTAGTTAACCATATAACCAATGATACCAGTAACATGTTTCTTATCGCATACCAAAGGTTTACATGGTTTAGCTACAATAATTATCCTATTTGCAAACACAAAATAGATACGTATCTACCTGCATTTTCATGTTTAAGTTGAAAGTGATTTCATTTTTTGATTTAATGTGATTTTGTTTGATGCAAGTAGGTATTGGTACATCAGTCGTATAATATTATCCAGCTGCCGAAATAAGCTGCACTATTGCAGCGGTACGCCGGTACAACAGGATGCATGGAAACGTATTAACGGTAAAAAATTAAAAGGGAGGGATAGAATTTTATTTAACAGCTATAAATACAGATGACAAAAACAAAATTCCTTTTTTTTTTTTTTTATGTAGGTATCTGTTTAAATTTGAATTCGACTTTATCGTGAAGTGGGGAGATCGAGATACTGCTACGCATGAGTGCATGACCCTTCCACGGCACGATGCTAATAGACCTACAATATTGCTGCACACTTTTTTAAATTTTTTATCGTGAACGAAACCGTGAAAAATACACAAGTGCTTGCGGTTAAAAATTATTTAATACCTCTAATAATCCAACATTCTTGGCTAACCGTAAAAACATTTATTTAACACAATATTATAAAATCACAAATTTAATTGCGATTTACATTTTTCAAATGGTCTGCGATAATCAGGGCTGGATTAACGTACCTATAGGCAATAGCCAAGAGCGCTAAATTTTAAAGGGCACATAGCAGAATCTAATAGTCATATTTTTCATTAAATATTTTTATTTTATTTTGACGGATTTTGTATAGAATTTTATTGAAAATTAACTAAAAAATGTCTGATTGCTTTAGTATTTTTGTTTTGTTTGAATTGAGATAGATAATAATTGGTTTATTTTTATCTGTATTTTCCATTTATTGTATATTTATGAATGTATTTGTTGTTTTATGAGTTGATAACTTAGTTTAAAATCGTTAGGTTATTTCCAAAAATTATTAACCGGCATTGTCGATCGTGACTCGTGAGTTATAAATGAAAATAATTATCATTCTATAGGTAGTATATTGTTTCCAGAATAGTGTATAAAATTATAATTTATAAATAATTTAGGCAGTTATATTTTATGCCGTAACGGCTGTAACCTGTTGGCTGTTTTCCAATATATTGTTTAATCTACATTCTACCAAACACTTAAGTCACTTAAGATATCTGAGACACTTGCAATGAGGCGTATGTAATTTGCGCCCAAAACAACCTGAAAAAAGTATAGGTATGTCATTTGCGCCAAATAAAACTAAATAAAAAGGCATTAGGTATGTAATCTGTACCATCGTCTACCAACTAAAATTGTAATTTTCACCATTCTTTACCTTATTAAAATTGTAATTAGCACCACTTTTATAAAAATTATAAATAAATGTATGTAAGTAAAACAAACTCCATGTAATAAGTAAATTTTCGTTTAGTTATAAAACATAAAAATCAGTCATGCTATAATTTTAAATAAATATATAGAAGTAAAACAAACTTCATGTAAATTAAATGAGTAAATTTTCGTTTAGTAATAAAATATATAAAAATTATATTGGACACTCGTCGGTATGTATTATTATATATCTTATGCGACATCAGTAAATTTCAACTGCAATTGAAGTTAGAAGTGTGGCGCAAATTACATATTCCATTTCATGTACTGTTGTAACTTGTAGCGCAAATTACAAGTAATAAAATTGGCGTAAAATATCATATATCTACGATCATTATTATTCAGGCGAGATGCTGTCTTGTCGTCCTCGGTCTTCACGACTCGACAGCAATGCGTCAACGATAAAAATCCAACGATGGGTGCACCCACTAGATAGCCGTCATAATTTTAGCAGTTACTAGTGACAGTTTGTACGATATTGTGTAAACCGTCAAATTTAAACGCCGGATGTCGACGCGCGCTCGTCCGTCGGTCTTTGTTGTTGGTTGCAGTTATGTAGAACGGAGATAATTATAACGATGTTATAAAAAATGAGCAACAATAGCGCGTAATATTTTTCAGGCGCAAGGTCTGAGTAGTATGTTTTTCTGTGTCGTATATTTCGAAATTGACTCGCTTGACTTCTGTGATCGTCAACAATAAAAATATAAAATTCATATTTTACCATAGAAATATCAGTAGGTACCAGCTATATTATTTTGTCATTTACGTTGAGCCTCATACACGATGGCAATGATCCCTACAATGTTTGGGATATGAGGCCTAAATATTAATTCCTTTGAAAGTAAAAAAAAAAAAAATGTTTAAACACACCTGCAGCTATAATATTCACAGACAATAATAACTTCTTTTTTTTGGCGTCCGCTTAACTAAAAAAATACAAGAATGCAAATCGATGTAGAAAAAATTACGTATGATTTTATGAATATTTTTATCAGTTTAGTCGAAAATTTATTTCAATACTTTTGGACCGCTGGTCACAGAGGTCTGAGTGGAACATTTTAAACAATGATCAAACCATATAAGGTATTATATTGTGTTATCTATTAGTTTATTACCATAATTATTTGAATAAACAAATTTTATCTGAAACAAAATTAGTTGTGTAATCATAAATTTCACTGTAATCCCTGAATAGTGTAGTTTTATAAAAACCAGACCTGTTTTGTTTATTTGAATATTTGATAATACATTACAATTTACAACAAAATAAATAAAATATTCAACAAATTATAATATTTTATATAGAAGTTGTATAAAAACAGTTTACTTACAAAAACACAATATAATAATACTTGTCTTAAATAAATATTTCATTTATCATACCATCAAATAATTTAGGTTATGTGTTAAAAAAATTGTGTTACCAAAAACAAGAAATAAGTTTTCATAATTTGAACATATACATAATTAATTTAAAACTTTTAAGTCAATTAAAAAACACATTTGTTTTGATATGATTTTCCTTCATTCAAGACTCATTTATTCCTTGGAATACATTTAATTCAAAGAAGATAATTTAAAAAAAAAAATAATACAAGATATTATATTATAGAACTTATCACTTATAATCTTCATACAACAAAATTAAACATACAATTGTACAAATAAAATTGTTAAATCTTATTATTGTTGTTTCTGTACACTTCATGTTGCTGGAAAATATTCATCGCGCATTAAAAACAACCACTGAAAAAATTTGATTAAGAAAAATTTTACTAAGTATTTTGATTAAATTATAAGCACAATATAATTTTCAAATAATACTATTTTCTACTTAGAATTCAATACCAGAAAGTGTTTGAAAAATGTTGCTACATTAATATTTAACTTTTTGAACAAATAGTATATTAAATTAGTTTTAATATTAATTAAACCACAAAGAATCAGCAAGAAAATAAACAAAATTATTATTTTTATACTAAGTAAATGATCTATAAAAAAATAATGAAAAATAAACTTGTATGAGTAAAATCAATTACCTGAACATTTAAACTACAGTTTTAATTATTAATTAAATAATTTTATTATAATTCATAAATGTTTAAATAAAATTTTTTAACTATAATAGAATTGAAAACAATATGGTTTATACAAAATTATATTTTAGTCTATCTATGTATAATTTATTTAAGTAGTATATTAACCAACGCAGAATATAATACAAAGGTATTTAGATCAATAGATAGAAGTACTTGACAATTTATTTAAAACATTTTACTATGTAAACACATTTCCAAACCTTTACATTGAAATAAAATAAACAATTAATATGTCCACTTTACACAAAGAATTTTCAAATTTGTCTATTTAAAAAAAAAAAATATAATATTGAACAGTTATTTATCTTAATTGTAAACCATTTATAATAAAATTAACTATTTTATAGTGGCACAAATACATAGATACCAATAGCTAATAATTTATTTATACTATTAAGTATGCATAAAGCGTAAATAGAAAAAAATACAATTAGATATAATATTTTCATCATTCTCAACTTTTAACATACAAAATATAGCTTTTAGTATGTATGAATGCAATAATTTAAACTATTTGTAAACTCCACAACAACCATTTAAATTGAATGTGGGTAAGTTATTCAGGGCTTGAAACTTATTTTAAACATATTATTTGAAAATAAATGGTAATGGTTATGAATCTGAAGTTATAATATAAACCAGTGTTTCTTAATTTTTAAATCATAGTGACAAACTATTAAAATATTTCATATTTTACAATATAATTAAAAAATAAGACTACTGGGTAATATTTAATTAATAATGAAAAATTAAAAATAACATAGCAAAAAACATAACATAAAAATAACAATACATTTTGATAAAATATAACTTTTTTAATAAATATCATGGAAATTAAATAAAATATCTATCAGTTTTTGTAAATTGTGTCAAAAATGATTGTACATTTTGAGTCATACTGGCTCAACACATTTAGACATATCTAGCAACACACTAGCAAAGAAACAATTGATATAAACAGTAAATTATGTTGTTGCACTTATATTGTGTGTTAAGCACAGTAAGCAGTTCTACAATTAAAATTAAAAAAAGATGTTTATTAATTTGCATCAAACTTTCAGACTATATTTGATCATAATATCATTGTTTAACACTAAATAATTAAAATTCAGAATCCAAATGAAAGAAGAAAAAAATTAAGTACCTAGGAAGAAAAATAAATAAATTAAGCTATATTCATTCATTTTTTTTATATCTTATTAATCTAATTAGGAATAACATTTTTTGTGAGATTATATCAAAGAGTGGGAGCCGAGATGTAAATACCTTTATTGTTAACAAATAAAAAAAACCTATCTGAAATATAATGTTATACCAACATAATGAGTATAATATAATATAGTATTGTATTGGACAACGCTTGTGACTCGTGAGCAATTAAAACTATAATTATCAATAAGTAAAAATGTGTTAAAACAATGAAATTGAAAAAAAACATCTTAACAATGACTAAAAGTTGAACTAAAATCTAAAAATACCATTCATATTATTAATTATATTTTATACCTGAAAAGTATAAACTAATATATCAGAATCATTTATTTTAAATACATTTTTATAGTTTTAGGGTGTTAGATATATTTACATGTTAATTGGACATAAAAAATTAAAAAAAGATTTGAGTGTTAATCAGAGTCGGACTAAGCAGACGGGATACAGGGAGTTTCTCAGTGGGCCGCTTGTACTCATGGGGACTTATTTTTAGATTTAACGGTTAAGGCATACTCGATACAATTTCACAAAAGAGCTCAAACCTTAACAAATTGCTTCATATGTATTAATGTGTATTTTGGAGTCTTAACATAAGTTTTTTAAATAAAAATGATAATATTTCTTTGTATTAATTTTTAATAATTTAAGGTTGTTTTTATAGGTTTTCTTAAGTGGACTGATTTTTTTGATTTTTCCAGTAGAAATTTTTGATCCAGTTCGGCCTTGGTGTTAATCATTATTAAAACTCAGGTTAATAAGGGTGCAATATTCTATATAAAAGTATAATTTAATTGAGAGCTACATCCAAATTATGCAAACTAAAAAGTAGTATTATTAACTGTGACACGCAATATTTAATAAAAGTAATAAATAAAACCAGTTTATTATTATCAAAAAATAACTATACCTAGACAACTATTTACAGTTGGGAAGATAATAAAAAGTAATATTATTGTTCAGCAAAAAAAAAAATAATTTATAACATTAATATGATTTTTTTTTTATATTTAAAAAAATAGTTTTATTGTATATACAGATTTCACATAACATAATAACAAGCTTTGGGAACCGCTCACTTAATTTATTGAATAAAATGTTTTTATAAGTAGGCAAAATGCAGTTATGTAGAGTGAAATGTTAAGTCATACCCTAAAACTTTTATGCATACACACATAGGCGTAACTAGAACCTTAAAGTTAGGGGGGGCTTCAGTCCTAGAATTTTTATTATAAGTAAATTAAGTGGGAGGCTCTACCCCCATACCCCCCCCCAAACACCTTACATTCATTGATTATACATATAATATGAATGTAAATTAATATTTAATTATAAAACAAATAATAAACCAAGTGGTATTGAGGTTAAATATTTATATATTAACATATTATTAAGTATTATTTTAGATATAAAGAATTTAACGATTTTTAGTTTATTGACAACTTCTTAGTAGGGAGTATTTGTGTAGTAAAAATTACACAACATGATACGTCTTACACGATCATTACATACAATAATATAGTTTAAATTAATATTTTTCCAAGATATTAAATTAAAAAAATAAAACGATATTTTAAATTTAAGTTTAAAAATGTTACTAATATTGGCGGGAGTGTGGGACTAGGAATTATGACAGGGGGGGGGCTAAAAATTATATTGGGGGGACTAAGCCTCCCAAGTCCTCCCTTAGTTACGCCTATGCATACACAACTGCCTACTAATTAGATGTAATGGATAAAATGTTAGTAGTTATAATTTATGTTGAAAACATAAAGCTCAACACTCCACTCATTTAACCTACTCAAATCTCATAATTACAGTACCTAAGCATAAAAAATTAATTGAGTTTAACAGTTTATAATTTCAAAAGGATACATCTTTTTGTTCGTTTCTTGTACATGATTCGGTAACCACACTCTCTGCATCGGATTGGGTCTTTGGGTTTCATTTCGTTTTCAGCCTGGCATGCTGTCATAGTTCGGGTACAAAAAAAAAAAAATTAATAAATACAAATGTTAAAATCAATCAAAATTTGAAATTGCCAATGTCTACTGTTCAGTCGGTACAATAACAACAGATGAAAGTTGTTGTCGAAACACAGTGAATACAATGCATTTTTATAATTACCTCCACAAATGTATATGAGCGCTTTTTTAGGGGCGTCTTCTGGCGTTTCATTTTCGGTAATCATGGTGTACACCGGACTTCGTCTGTTGTTGAATACGGAATAATAAATTTCATTCAGCAATAAACATTAATATTTAATTTATATCTGGCATTTGCATTGCCGCGAGTCGCGACGCCGACCATTGTTATCTCTAGCGCTATCACTGAATTGTCTGAACTGATTTTCAAATCGTTTCCGCACGTGCGAGTGTATACTTGTTTCCAAAGACGTTGTATCGATAGCGCGGGAATGTTTAAAACACTATTTTTTGCGCGATGATCAATATTAATAATAAACAATATGATGTGTTTACAGTATAAACTTTACACCTCTGAAATTTGAAATTATATTCATAATATGTAGTGATAAATAATAAGAAAAATTGCCGTAAGACGGTAGTCTGTATCAGAATCACTTTTTTTTAAAGATTTTAAAAAAGAACCAAAATTAATTTAAAATAAATTTTATTTTTTTCTCATATTCTCGTGCTACCATAAAACTTATGCATTTATTTTTATTTTATTTAATCAAAGTCATTCAAAGAATATTTCCAATCTAAAAAATTTTTTTTCTTCATATTTTTATTTATATAAATAAACAATATATTATATCGTATATTATTTTAGTTTATAGTAGACAGCTTCTTCTATGTTTTAGTTTTAATTTATGGCTAGAATTTATAGGTTGTGTATTTGAATATTAAGTATTCTGATATACTTAGAATATATGTTCATAAATTTTAGCTTAATCTTGTTGTATATTTGCGTATAACCAGATAGCCACTCTGAGGATTGATGAATGCACGTTTTTGTTAAGTGTACCTATTATATTAACTAGGTACAGTATTGATTGATTTTTTTCTAATAAAGGATATAGTTAATTGCTGAGGTAACATATTACTAACAAAGTTCCCAGCTCAGTACTATTCAGTATTCTCTGCATCAACATAGCTACGCGATTTAACAAAAAAAGAAGTTTTTATGGCTCTAGGATATGCCCTAGATCAGCGGTTCTCAACCTTTTTAGTTTCATGAACTATTAATTTTGTAAAAAAATATTTGAGGCCCATCCATAGCATACTTATATACGTTTTCATAAAATTATAATATATAACATAACATATTTACATATGTCATATTATATATATATATAGATAGAAAGATAGTTATTAGGAATAAAAAATTTAAAAATTAAAAAAAAAAATTGTTTATAAAAAAAAACTTAATTCAACTTTATCACAAGATAAACAATTTAATGTGATTTTTGACATTGCTTGTTCTTCACGAGAAAATCAATATCTGGATTAAAATTTGTTACTTGTACACTTATTGTACATTATAGTTAAAATTGATTAAATATTATTATGATTAGAAATATAACAAAAAATATATAATAATATTATTTTAAATATATATAATGTTTAATATTATACCTTTGGCTCGCGGACCATGGGTTGGGAACCGCTGTCCTAGATTTGTTTCATACCATTTTGAGAAATTATATTTGTATCTATGCGGTTGTGTGTATTTATGGTTTTTTGATCAACTTATCACTATAAATATAATGTTTTTTTTTTTTTTTTTTATAATATATAAGTATGTAATACATCAATGCATGACTTAAGTATTTTTAAACAAATAATTTAATGAAAGTTTTAAATTAAATAGATGTTTATCAATTAATTTAGTGAAATAATTAACTTTTGACGTTTATGCTTATTGATGTGTTAATAATTTATCAGGTGTGACCTAATGTGGCGCGATGGTTGGCCTCAGTCACTAATGTGTTCTGAGGTCAAACATTATTGGCTGGCGTTGCTAGCTCTCGGATGGGTGACCACTCAAGTTCTAAGTGACAAATCCATGGCGCACACACATACACACACGTGTTCCAACCGTACTAACCAAACTTTACAAACAAACCTTACACAAAAAATCTATTATTCCTATCCACAGCTAATGGCTTTAGACCTATAGTTGCCAGGCTTAAATAAAATCAATCAAAAAAAAAAATTATCAGGTTTATTTTCTGGGGATTAAAGCAGTTAATTGAAATGTGACTGCCATTTATAAATTCATATATTTATCACAGAACATTTTAAAGGAAAATAAATTCCGCATATTAATTATAAACTATAATTTATTTAAAGGCATTTTTAATTATTTTAAGATGGTGTCAACACTTCATTGACTTTTAATTTAGTAAAATATATACCAATACAATAATTAATAAAAAGAGTTAAATAGATTTTATTATTTGCAATAATAATAATCATTTAAAAATTCCATCTCATGGTAAAAGCTATATTATCTACAACTATTATCCAATAGAGGTACATTTTCAAATTATGAATCAAGTATAACTTAATTTTAACTTAATAAATTTATTTATGATAAAACACTTTTTCCTTTCCATTTTAAATACAAAATTAATCCGGTTTTATAGTTTTTATTTACCGACTCCGAGTAATATGAAACCAGCCACCAATTATTTTTGAATTTGGCTAAATTGTCTAAATTAAATAATAATAAGCGTAATGTGTTTTGAAATCAATATTAATATTTAAATAAAATTGTTTGTTAACTTTTTGAAATTATTGTACGATATTTTAATTAATTGAACAATCATAATGATAGTTCTTCATTTATTTTTAAAAAACTATAGAATTTAGACGCACGCTCATAATTATTTTATTTCTATTTTATCTGCTGGCTGTTGTTAGGAAATGCGTTTTAACGAAAAATATTCTATATTTGCACAAAATGTAAAACTCAAGTATTATTATAGGTAATCCAAACTGTTTATGAAGTAGGTACAGTTTAATAATTGATCATATAACATAATAATAAAAAAACCCATCTTTGCAAACGTAACTCAATATTTTTAACTTTAGATAACCTTTAAAAATTCCTTCAATTTTCTTTTAAGCAAACAAGTGCATAAATTGTATTACATATTACCTTTGTTAATTTTTTTTTTTTTTTGATTATGTAAATTATGTTATTTTTCTTTCTATATCTGTTTCACAATCTGTTTTTTTGTCTGTTCTGCAATGTTAATTATGCTTAGGTAATCTGCAGCACTCTTTTCGTATCAAACGTTAGTACCTATTTATAGTTAACGATTTTATGTATTTTATAATTGGTGTACAGGAATTATTTAAATTTATGTATAATAGTGTAGGTAATAGTAAATAATAGATACATAGCAAATTCAGCACATATATTTACTATTTGTGTAAGCATCACGTCATCACGTAAATTATACATTATTCGTTTCGATTAAATAAGTAGGTGACTGTGATTATGTACATTTGTTGACTTGACAGTAGATATAACTATTGAAATTATATTATTATAGATTAAGTTAATAAATTATTTATTATTATATCCTCCTCAACTGTTGTGCATTTTCACGACTATTTTGAATGGTAGGTACTCATATGAAATGTAAAAATTAAAATTTTAAATAGTATAGAACTACGCAGGTACCATTAATTCAACGCACGATTTTATCGAGCTTATCGGTGTGTATGCAATTGGGAATATAGTCTATTCGAAGCATCATCATTATTCATATTATAGATATACCTATAATTTCATCAGATATTACTTATTATGTTTTTTTATAAAAAAAAAAAAAAACGGCAAATAAACCGTCTATCAAAATTAATGACAAGTACTCAATCTATAATTTTATTTGCCAAAAGTACTGCAAAGAATGTTTTAGAAAATTATTCACATATAATACTTATAAATTATAGTAATAAGAATTAGGTAAGTACACAGTTATTCGAAATTTATAGAATACGAGTATATTACCTATTAACTATTTTTAATAATCTATGGACTATCAAGATACTAGAACCAGTACAATCGTAATAAATACTAGTATTTATAATCAATGGTGATATATACATTATACAAGACTAAAAATCAGTACGATCCTACATAATATTATAGCCATATATAGGTACAAATAGTTAACGCCTGACAGTATTTTAGTCGCTATAATCTAAACTTTAGAATATAATATATTACATTAAATCCTTTAATTAAATTATGATTTATAAAATTAAAACATTTAAGTCGATGTAGGAGATACTACTATATAGCGAATAATAGGTTATGGGTACCTACTAGTTACTAGGTAGGTATACCCAATATTAGATATTACAGTATTACACAGGGTCACAGATATAGTGCCTAAAGGCCTCATCGCGTGTCTTCATTGTTTTTACTATGTATGCAGATACTCACCGTGATCCATATTAGTATATTACTATCCTAAATCCACTTATTGACTAAACATTAAAACTTTTTTTTATGGCTTTATTAAACTATATTAATACTATATACCTCAACTATTAACGTAAATTAGATAATTTAGAACAGTCGAAAACGCTTCAGGTACGTGTAGTGCGATGTTATGAGAATATAAGTTCACGTATTCACGTCGATCACGATATTACGTTGACAGTAGTACTTCTTAGCCATATACCTATTACCCAGTATTTGTATTTCACCAGCTGTAAATTTATTAAATTAATATTTTCAATTTTGTCCCGATTTCGGTGACCCGTAGTCATGTGGTCCTTCGACTAGAGCGCGTTAGCCGTACTCTCCGATCAACGATCAATCATCAGTGCGGATTAATGAGTGATAACAGATAACAATTAAGGGCATGCGCGGGCGCGAATGGTCGAGACTCGGGAGACTTGCGCCTAGGGGCCAAACTACTGGTGTTTTGCGTAGGTTGTTATGCCCGCGGGGTTAATGTGTTTTTTCTAGATCATTGACCCCTATTATTAAACAACCCCGTTCGCGTTTTTTATTACTATTATCATTATTATTATTATTACTATTCCATTTGCGCATATAATACCCGTGTCACTCCGAGACAATGACAAGTGCGAAATAAGCTGTCTGGGTTAGTGGGTTGTGTCATTATTCTGGATCTCGAACTACGCCTCGCCTAAAACCATCATTATCGTTCTCAAAGACACGACATTTGTTTGGTTTAAATATTTTCCACAGTTTTCCATTTTCTACCGTTCACTAAACTGCCTACCGCGGCGACGTCTTCATTGTTGATCAAGTCGACAGCAAGATGGAATCTAACTGTTGACAGCTTGCACGATATCGTGTTGGTGTT